GCTTTCATCAAGCTTTCATCAAGCTTTCATCAAGCTTTCATCAAGCTCTACAAAACAGTTCACAGTGTTTAAAAAACAATAAAAATAAAAAAAAAATCGAATAAAAACATCCTAAAACATTTGAAAACGAAGCGGATAATATTTAGTGTATAAGTTATTATTAATTTGAAATTTAAATTCATCATGTAAAAAATTGTATTGTATATATTTTCATCAAGCTCTACAAAACAGTTCTACTTTAAACGGGCGGAACACTTTGAATTTGCCTTATCAGCCACAATTTTGTATCGAAAGTCTCACAGAGAACCAATATTTGGAAGTTTTTGATCAACATTTAATAACGCATATTGTACTCAGTTTAACCGTTATTTTGATGAATATCATTTTCGAACGCTCAAATTTTGGCAATTCTAAGTTGTAGATGTTGTAAATCGATTACTCCAGCAGAAACATATCGAAAAATAATTGAGTAAATTTCTGACACAAAACATTTCCGGTGGTTTTGAAATTCGCAAAAACGGTGGCCACGTAATCCTGAGAGGTAAGTAGGTATGACAAATTTAGTGGCATATTCACATAGCTGAAAGTTAGTTTTTGCTTTTGGGTCCAGCAGTTTCTGCCAGAAAGCTGGACGCAGCAACGGAGGAAAATGATTGTCCGCACTATTAAGTCACATATTTCTCTGTCTGGCCTTGATACGCAAAATTAAAAAAATTCAATTGAGAGAAATTAAAATTTAATGAAAACTTTTTAAAAGAAAAGAAACCAAAGCGCAACACTCGCTAGAGAATTTACACAATGGTTGATGTATTTGCACTATCTTCGCCTTTTTCTTCGCTCTGTTTTTCAGCTGCATTTCCTGTTCCTCCCAAGTTGTCGGCTTGCTCCGTTCCCTTGGTATTATATTCGAATTCAAGTATCGACGGGTCCTGTCCGTCTTTTTCTAGCTCTTCGACCAGTCTTTGTTTCAATTCAAGTATCGACGGGTCCTGTCCATCTTTTTCTAGCTGTTCGACCAGTCTTTGTTTTAATTCAGCTTTAGTACCGGTTGTACGAAGGTTTCTTTTTCCCAGCTCTTGTTTGAGCTGCTCCACTTTAAGTTCTTCTAATCTCACCATTTCTCTTAGTTTCCACGATCTCACTTCTGACACCAGTTGTTATGAAATTCGCTTTTATGGGATACAGTCCGTATCACTAGATCGTAGATATTTTGATCAAGAGGAATACACTTCAAAGTTCTTTTATTTACAATTATATTTCTTTTAATGTAGGATTATTTACAAATTATTTTTGGCAATACTTTCGACTGCTTAACTCAAATATTCTTTTTCTACTCTTCTGTCTTTCACAAATATTCTATTTATATACATCTTTGCCATCCTATTACTAGCACCTAATTTTATGACTTGATATTTAATTCGTTAACCTGCTTTTGTTGGTAACCGTTTTCATCATCATGCAGCTGCATGACGCCTAGCGAATGTAAATTTGGTTGTAGAAAATGACTAGATTTGGGATTTCCGTAACAGTATAGTAAGAAAGTGTATACAAGGAATAGCGTTTATGTGGAACTGTAGATAGTATTTTCATTAACATGCACTTTCTTCATATTCTTAAAACACCATTATCCCAGCAACTAAATGCATCAATAAATTCATAAAACAAAGGACTATGTTTTTTGCGTATATTACTGCCCATATATTATCCCCACCAAATCGATTCCCAATATCGCGCAAAAAAACTCTCCTGCGAAAGCTAATGGCTACTTTTTATTTACAACGTTGAAAACCGCCGCTAATTTTATTTATGTCGTCTATCCCGAGATATTGAAGCATTTAAAATAAAAGATTCAACTAGTGATCCATTTCTAAACATCGAACCGGTATTGCACATAACAAAGCTTGATCGTTAGTTTTATCAGTTGAAGTGCTTCGAGAGCATTGCTGGCATTGATATAATTCTTGATTTGACATATATACGATTTTAGTCTAAGAATTTATTTCATTAGTCTAAAATTATAATAATAATAATAATAATAATAATATTTTATTGCCGATGTTGCAAATGCCACAAAGCTCTATTATTTTTGTCGCAAGCTTTATTATTTTTGTCGCAAGCTCTATTATTTTCTATTTATTTATGTAAACAATTCATAATAGTAATCAGCTGTAATTACGTTAACCTTAGTTTAGAATTTCACAATATTTCTTTTATTCCTGTCGTTATAAATGCGATGTATACGCACAATGTAATCTTAAATATTACATACAATCTACTATTAGATGTAAAGAAATGTAATAATAATTACTTAGAAGATTTTATTCTTCAAAACTCAATTATTTATTTACTTTCTTCTATTTTAGAATATACCTGGTTGCAGCGCTGCATGAAAAAATGCAGGCAAGTGTTTGTTTTTTTTTCTGCGATGTAATGAAATACTAAATTATGTAATATGTAGTTCGTATATTCAGACAGTAATTATTGAAGTGTTTGAATGCATACCAAACAGGAGGGGACGTGTTTCATAATAAAATAGCCACACACATTGAAGTCATGCTGGAAAAAACTGTGACCTGCTTTAACTGCGGAAAATGACGAAGAATCTGTGAAAGTGTAAACATTGACTGCAAACATAGCCGAAATCGCGAATGGAATAGGACGAGATGTGTTCGAACAGATAGAATCAAGTGACATTCAGGAATTGCTTGAATTGCAAGATGAACATTTGACTGAAATCTAGTTGGAGGAAATGTTAAATTCACCGCCCATTCAAGAAGACGCTTCAACAAGCACTGGAAACGTGACATGTAATTTGAAAAATCTTAGTGAAGATTTAAGAATTCAAATGAGCTTGGCGATTTCTTCATGAACATTGATCCGTCTGTGGAACGAAGTCTTATTTTTAAGAAGCAAATTGTTAACGCTGCCTATCAGTCTGCACTGAAGCAGCTTTTAAAAACTGCCAAGCAAGAGAAACTTACAAAATTCTTCAAACCGTTGCCTAAGGTAATTAATGAAAATGTTCAAAAACTTCAATTAAATTGATTTTTTTATATATTTGATTTTTTTTTTATTTTGACACCTGGGAACGTATCCTCTATAATCCCATATAAATTACCATTCCGTATTCACGGCACTTTTATGGAACGTAGACCCCGCGAATGAGGAATAATTTTGCGTGTATTTGTATAAAATTGGTGCCTTTAAAGAATAAGCGTATAAAATTGGCGCCTTTAGAGAATAAGCGTATATATGTTCTCATTAATTTGTAAAAATGCCAACCATGTGAGAATAAGCGTCCACACATTTGTTTACATTTTTCAATAATTTTGCATGTATTTGTATGAAACAAATAGAAACAGATGATAATAATACGGACTTTTCATATTTAAGGGTCGGTTCAAAACCTTGTCTAGTTAAAATTTCCGAGTTAGTGTCGGACGGTTGTGAGTGGCGATAGGCTCTACGAAGACAGGAGGACTTGTTTTGCCTAACCTAAAGTACAGTTACCGCCTTCTTTAATAGCTATGCCCGTCATCGAACCTATTAAGGGGAATACAAGTGCTACAAACGCTACAGGCTTACCCTCCTCGTTAACGTGACAAGGTCAAGGAACTTTTACTGTACTTAGATAATTCTTGAAAGTAAACAAAAGTTATAGAGGAATACATTTCTTTCAACTCTGGAACAGCTTCAAGTGTTTTCTTCACAATATTTCGCCAATGATGTACGTCAAACATGCCATTTAGTCGTTTTATTATATTTAACAAACATTGTCCTCCAAACTTTTTAAGCCTTTCATTAATCAACGTAAAAAGAGACGGGGAAACTCAACATTGTGCGACTCCGCAATTCAATCACTTAGATGAGGGGGTTTGTCGAACGAGCTATTTTATCAAGAGATTACTCCGCCTTAATGCAACGTCATTATGAAATTGTGGGTTGAACATTTAGTTTGTTCCATTTCGTGTGTAATTTCATATCTTTACTCAGATGCTATACAATTGAAGTGATTTGAGATTTAATTTTCTATAAAAAGTCATTGCCAGCATTTAAAAGACATTCAACAATAAGTCCTTGATAACTAGGAAAAAACACAAATAAATAAATAAGCAATAGACATGGTGGAAAGATAAATTAACGAAAACAAATTGAAATCAGAGACGGCCGATCATTGGATGGACTAAAACACTTTTATTATTTAGTTACACACAGTTAGGGTTTTAAGAAAATTTGGAATTTTTGTCTTACATGAATGAGTTTAGGAAAACACCCTGTACTGGATAAATCCAAATCAGTATCACGACTCTCTTATTGCACGCTAATACCGGTAGGTCGTACATTAGTTTCGTTTAGATGAAACTGGTTTAGGTCCATTTAATTTTATATACAGATATTTAAACGTGTGCATTTGAATAATGATATATGCAATAAATTTAGAAAAGATAAAATGCACTTATCGTCAATGAACCGTTAAAGCCTGAAATGTTTCCTTTCGGAATCTGGATGGATCTGAAAATAAAAAAAGGAAAAAAACTATAAGTAATAAATAATAAATCTTCTTGTATAGACTATAAGCACCTACTATTTTTCCCCATAAATGCACTCACCTCCAATATATATAATTTCTTTCTAGATTTTTTCACAGCTTTGTTCTCGTTCTTTTGGAATTTTTCAAATTCCACTGTTTATGAAATTTCTTCGAGGCGGGCGTAGAAGTCCCGAAGGCCCTAGAAGCAGACGCACCATTATCAACAAGATATATTCTAGGTTTATTAAATGGTATGGCTTTCAGTGTTTTTATTTATTAGTATTCCAACTCATTCCTTTATACTCTCTTCACAGTCGTTGAGCAGTGCAGACGTGCTTTTAGCGAGCGCGCATTAACTCACAAGATAAAAAGGAATAGAACTGTTATTAAACAATAAATGATATAGACAGAAAAGGAAAACACGGCGAACTACACGCGATAGGGCACAGGCCGACAGCACATGAGACGTTAGAGAGTTGACCGGACGTGAGTCAGTCGTAGGAAAAAGGCGATGGAGACAAGACTACTGATTATCATACGGCGAGCCAGCAGTACGGTGATAACGCCATTGCCAACGCAGCTGATTGTTCCTAAGCTCTCCTGCGATATTTGCGAGAGTGAGTTCGCTTCCCTAGCACGACGGAGACAACACGCTAGTAGGAGTTCCTGCAGAGGGAACCTAGATAGAGTGGAAAATAAGTGTCACCTTTGTAACCGCAACTTTGTCACGTACGCAGGCCTTAGGCAGCACGGAAGGCTGGTCCACCCCGTCCAATATAATCAACAGATGGCGGTTAAGGCCGTCACGCAATCTAGGAAGAGGTGGACAGCCGAAGAGCAGCAAGAGCTGGCGCAAATGGAGGCGGGGCTGGCGTCGGCGAATGCTTCAGACGTCATCGACAATTTGGCAGTTTGTTCCACCCGGTCGCGTGTTGCGATAAAGAAGCGTAGGCAGCGCCTCTCCTACGTTTCCATGGTATCGAACTTGAAAGCCGCACTACCAGCCCCGCCAAATTCTCCATCGCGGAAAGTCAAGAGTTGGTCATCGCTATGGAGTCTTCGTGTCTCAATGAGGTAGATGCCATGCTAAGAAGAGAAATTTTGGCATCCCCCGAGAGAGGCAACAACGCTCTGGCTGGGTGTGTAAATAAGTTGACTGGCTGCATCAGCAGGGTACATCGCAATACAAGACGACAAACTGCGAACCAGACCGCCGTAAGAAACACAAATAAGGCCAGACGAGCCGCGATGTACCGTCGTGCACAGAATAAGTTCGCCAAAAATCCTAGAAAGAAAAAGCTTATTCTGGAAAATGACGAATGGTATATATTAGACCCCCCGAATATTTTCAGGGAAAAGTCTCTCGAGCAATACTCAACACAAAGACTTATTAATAAAGACGTACTTAAATAAATATTTACGAATCAGCTGTCGTCACAATAGTTGCCGATCGTCAGGTTATAAAATATCAAAACTAGATGCTTTATAATTCTAATTCATGTAAAATGCTAAAAATCTATGTCTTTTACTATTACATAAATATTATATAATAATATAATTGCATTTAATAATTAACACAAGTTTTTG